TAACAACGACAGTGCATGCTCCATTTATATATAATATACACACACACACACGCATGTACATTGAATCCAGTCAACAAAATGATGGCACTGTGGCACTGGGATACTGTGACTTAGGCTTTTCAGTCTGTTCTTACTTATATTTGTATTTTCTCCTCATCATATTATTCGCTTATAAACTCGCCCAAAAAAGTTAAGGAACAGCTTGTGTTTTCACCTGTCAAATTCAAACTTCAATATATCTCACACACTTGTTAGGTTCAGTCAACCAAACTTGGCACACGCACTTTCGACTAGACACACTTTGCCTGTACAGCAAATTTGCCCGCACCAGCTTCACAGCGACAGCGCAGGGCATTCTGAAACACAGTCGAAAACCATGATAAATGGGCTAAATTTCTCTGTTTCAGCAACATTGGCATAGGGACTATTAGCTAAAACTAAGCTTGGCACGTGCTGAACAGATGTCTCAGCTGTGATTATTGCTCCCTTACAACCCTTTATAAGGCAGCGATTTTCAGCCACGTGTCATTACAACACGATGGTCCAACGACGCTCGCTGCCTGACGTCGACAGAGGACGAGTCCTTGCCTGGCTCCAAGATGGCTCCACGTTCCCAATTGTTGCACATCGACTTGGGGCGTCCCCATCAGTCATATATGGCGGCTGCAAGAACGATGGTGAGCGACCGGAAGGGTCCAGGACAGGCCTCAACCAGGGTGCCATGTTTGACCAACGACAGCATCGACCGGTTCATCGTCAAACAGGCCGTGACGTCACGAGCCACTACTGCAAACGGCACCAGGGACCAACCACGGGTGACAGCCAATGTCCACGAGAGCGAGGAGACGGTAGGAAACAGTATCCGAAGAGCCAGGTTAGCTTCTCGTGTCCCTGCCAGGCGCCCAAGGCACACGCTACCCCACAAAGCAGCTCGCCCGGCGTGGTCTGCTCGCCATTCACAGTGGACACAATGTCAGTGGGACCAGGTAGTCTTCTCGGACGAATCCAGATTCAACTTGCTGCACCCAGACAGGCGAGCCCACGTCTGGAGGCGCCGAGGAGAGCTGTTCCATCCTGAGTGCATCCAGCAGATGGCGCCCTACGGTGGAGGGCCCGTTCTGGTATGTGGAGGCTTCTCAGCTCACCACAAGACCCCGTGTACCATATACAGGGCAATTTGACCGCGGCAAGGTACAGGAAGAAAATCCTGCGTCTCCCTTGCAGTTTCTCTCTTGCAACAGATTGGACCCCAGGCTGTACTGCAGGACTACAACGCCACGCCACATCGCGCACGCATCGTGGGGGACTTCCTGCTACAGCAAGCTGTCACCCGCATGGACTGACCAGCTTGTAGTCCGGATTTGAACCTAATAGAGAACATTTGGGATCCCATTGACCGGTGGATAAGGGACAACCACCCTCCTGCACAAAACCTTAAGCAATTCTTGGCTACCTTGTCCAGGAGGGGCAGAACCTACTGCAACAAGTTCTCCGAAGGCATGTCCTGTCCATACGTCGACGCTGTGCCGAGTGTTTGATCAAACGGAGAGGCTACATCCACTATTGACAATGTACATGAAGAACTATGGCTGTTCAGACTTTTGAAATCCGACCAGTGTGACTTAAATTCATTTTACATGAACTTCTCGTTTTTGTTGAAATCTGAAATTGTACACACTTAATCTAAAGAGTCGAAAGCAACTTTTGGGAAAAAATGAATAAATTTGGTTAAACTGTTCTTCAGTTAAAATCTTTCTTTGAATTTTTGTTCCTTGACTTTTTTTGTGCGAGTTTAAAAACTACATGTATATAAAAATGAATCTAGCTTTGAGCCTGAAAAAAGGCGTAGAACCAGAATATCCACTGTCAAGAACCAGTTAGGGTGTCAATGTTTAAATTTAAATAAACGTGAAAGACAAAAATTATTACTCTAGCTCAAAGTAGAGTAATACAGTGGAATCCTGTTATAACGAGAGGGAGGGGACCGGAGCAAAATGTCCGTTATAGCAGGATTCTCGCTATAACTATAACTATAAGGGATCCAGTAATAAATTGGAGGGAAACTGTAAAGTAGGCCTAATCTATGAGTTTGGTGTTCTGTTTATTTCCTTTTGCTATCTTCCCTGACAATGATTTTGATTCAACATGACCTCTAGGTCTTACTTGATCAAAAATCGAATCAGGTTTCATTTTCTAGTGCTAGATCTAGCGATGTCGACTGGCAGCTCGGTGTTGGCGATCTGAAAGAAAGGGCTCTGGGCTATACTTTTCTCTGATCGTCTAGGCTCTGGGCTAACTAACTCGCCCATTGATTTCCCCCCACCCCACAACACCCTTTGGTGCATTCCGTCAGCTTGCGCACGTCACACATTTGCTCAACCCATCACATTGCTGTGACCTCTCCATCCCCGCATCGGGGAAGTGGGAGGCATGGTGAAAAATGTCTGCCGATGAGAGGAATGGGCCGACAAGACCCTTCTTTCAACTCTAATTTCTCCTCTCATTGTGCATTGTTTTGAATGAAATAAAGATAATTAAAAACACCAATCTTTCCTTGTTTGTTTGTATCTAAATATGAACCAGTAAATAGCCTACAAATACGTTATCGATTGATTATAAAAAGCCACATAGGGCCGATGCTTAGGGCGCTGAAGGGAGAGAACGAAAGTCCCGGGTCGAGGGTGGGCTCTTTCTTTCCACGATTCGCTCGCCGAGAAAGGTCGCACAAAAATAGCAATGACATCATTGAAACGAGAAGAGGCTAAGCTATCACGTGATACCAGCCATCCCGGCATCCTTTCCGAAATGCGGGAGTAAACAAAGGATTTGTGCGAAGTGGAGATGTTTTTCGTCAAATTCGCCAGGTTTGGTGAAATTTTGCAGGGCAGATTATACATCAATAGAAAGCTGAAACATTGATTTCTTTGTGGTGCAAAAGGCAATTCGGTGGATTATTTCACGATGTCAGTAGAGACCGAAAACCAACTTGGATCCAAAGCTCCGATTCGCACACAATGGAGGCCAATGAAGGCGACCCGGGCCAAGAGCCAAACGAACCAGTGATGTTTTGTGTAAATCGCCCAACAGATGCCGATTGTGTGCTGTCCACGGTTCAACTGCAAGCCTTGATTGGTAAGTTGGTGATTAAAATTTTTAAAGAATTTATATATATGTTTATTTTTTTTTATTGAATATAATATACGAGCAAAGGAAAGTACTTATCGGAGGGAGTAATTCAAAGTCAGGAAGGAACAGCCGAATGGCCTTACGGCAAGTTACGGGCTCTCGGGTTGCTTCTGGGGATAGGAAATCGCTAAGAAACCTGCCGTAGCCTTTTAAAATGTTTGTTCTATGGTATTGTGAGTATCAATTGTTTAAAAATGCCTCAGCTGAACTTGTACCAATGTGTCAGGGAGACCATAAAACGAAACATTTTAGACAACGAAAAGCAGAAAAAAGAAAAAGAAATTCAGGACAAAGATAGGCAAGCTGCTCTCCTGACTGACCTTCTGAGTCAAGGTGGTTTAAGTAACACTAAAGAAGACCTAGACAGGCTAATGAGAGGACCGAGGCCACTTCAGCAGACACTAAAGGTAGAGATGAGATTCAGAAAATATTATATGCATGCATCCGATCTTCGTCTCACAGGCAATCTACAAACCCTGTACGCCACCTTATGCAATCATTTAGGGTTTGATTATGATTACATTGACAGAACAGTAGAACCTCCACAGAAGAAAAGAAAAACTGCACAGGAAGAAGCAGAGCTGTCCGATGAGTCGGCATCAGATTCAGATGATGAAGGGGAGAATGGTCGTAGTGAGGAGATAGAAGTGCTGGACAAACAATCAGTAGATGAAGAGGAGTCAGGGAGATAGTTTGTTCTTGCCATGTAGATGGCAAAATACCCGGAACTAAAAGTATCTTTATTGGTAAAATGGTATGGCCTGTTTGATTTATCATGTAAAAATGGTTTAGAGAATTCATGTTTATTTTTTTTTACCTCATCATGTACAAAATTATGTTTTTGCAGAGTTCTTGTCTGTTGTATTTGCTTTTTAAACTGGGTGCTAGTACAATTAGTATTTGCTTGTATTTTTGCCAGTAATTTGATGTGTGGACGAATATTAATGTAGTTCTATCACAATTGGGTTGATTTTTGTGTCGTTGAGTTATGAAATTATAATGGTAATGCTAGTAAAAAAGTTCTTTTATTTCTAGTTTCCTCAGGTCTGCTGGAATATTCATACATTGTTATAAAGCTTTCAGAGCCTTCTGAGGAAGTATATTAAGTGCTTTAAATATGTGATTCTTTGTTGTTTGCCTCATTGGAATATTTTTAATGCATTTTATGGTCAACTTCTTCATCAGTGCCTTGGAAACTCATGTGTATCAATGGACATATTGATTTTCTGTTGCAAATATCCTTTTGAGCCTTACATGAATGCCAAAATTGGATTCCCCATTAAAAATTACATAGACATGCAAAGTTTTGTTGTACTATCTCAAACGGTTCTTGTTTCTGTCGTGATGTTGCTTGAGATTTCACTCCTAAGTCCAAACGTAGCACTTTTGCTGTTTTTGGACGATTCTGATTTCGTTATTATTCCACTTAAGCACTCTGTGGTCTGGTATGCATGAAAACCTTTAAAAACAGAGTCTAGTGAAGTTTCTGACGAAGACACACCGGCTTAAAGATGGGGTTCGAACCTGACTGAAAAAGTCTGAAAATATTCTTAGTCTGAGCAAATTTCAAATGGCCATAAAAAAATTATTTTTCATCCGATTTCTTTGATTTAAAAACCTATGTTCATGGTTTGATACAAAGAATGCATTTAAAATGAAAAAAGACAACATATTGAGCATTTGAAATTTTAGGTTGCCACACCATGGTAGGCCTTGATAATCTAAACTAGGCTTACGCTGGCCTATCACACGATGTGTTCTGCCTGTCTGCGCATGCCACACCCTCCCTACTCAGTCGCTGCGGCCTTCATTGTTGACACACGTGGGCTCTCCCATTCTTTGTTTCGCTAGATCACCAACAAGTTTCTCAACTGGCGAGTTGGCCTATACGCTGTGCACAGCAGCAGGAATATTCCGCTATAACCGACTCGCGTGTTTGTCAGACTGCGCTATAGATAGCAGTATTTTATTTACAAAGATAAAGAAGAGAAAAAACGGAGTTTTAGAACAGTGTCTTTATAACAGATTTCTCGTTTTTTCCGGACTCGTTATAAGTGGACTCCACTGTAACATGAATGGCTCAAGTAGACTATTCAGAGCGAGAGGTGTAAGAACTGTCGGAGGGCAAGATGCAGTGACACTGAAAATCTGCGAATCTTGAACAGAAAGCTAAAAATATACAATAAATATAATTTACTATCACCTACACAATGAAACGGGAACCCTTTAGCAAAAAAAACACGGCTTAGACGGTTTGAGTATGATGGATCCCGATTCCACACAATGACTGTGCACCAACGCGCCCTTTGCAGAGAGATCTAGAGATCTACCAACTTCCAAGTTCAGTTTTGTTGTCATCCGGTGTTGCCTTCAACCTCCAGCCTCCCCCCCCCCCCCCTCCCGCGTGTGTTAAAAAAAAAAAAAATCAATAATCCTCCCATTCCCGAGTCCTATACTTTGCAGCGCTCAAACTTTGCATGAACTTTGGTGACCTCAACCACCGCCGATACTCACGATGTGACGAAAACTCACAGGTTCAATGACCGGTCACGACGGCGAGCCCGACAAGAAGCTTGTTTTGTATAACTTTCTTTTTCTTTTGTTTTTTTCACACAAGTGACAGCACAGGACAAACGATTTATTTTCATGGCGACACAGCGTTTGTAATGCAGAGCCTGCATGTTACAAATGTAGCGTTATCAGACTACTATAGGCCCTACCGGCAAATTTCTGGGTGGTAACGAAAGCGAAAGCAGATCTTGATTTTCCCGATCGAGCTCCGGTATCGCACATACTTCCACTTGTTGCCGCCATTACCGCATGAGTGCGTGTAACGTACTCTCAGGCCGGGAAAGGCCGAATAAATATTATTCACAATCGCGACCGCCAAAAATGAACTCAAGGACGTTATCGGATTTGGTTTTCAAATATTCGAGAACTTTTATGTATTTCCGCGGGTTTTTCACGGGGCAATTTACAGATTTCTTAAAATTCCCGTTGCATTCCGGATCTCGGCGATTTTTTTCAAATTCCTGGGTGATTCCAGGGGCCCCCGGGATTCCCGGGGCCTGGCAGTCACCCTGTACACGTGTTCCTGTCAGATCTGGCAAAATTCAAAGGAGTTTTCAATGAGATTTTTCCTTGAACGCAAATTCAAGCAGTTTTCCATTAGATTTTTCCTTGAATGCAAATTCAAGAAGTTTTCAATGAGATTTTTCCTTGAATGCAAATTCAAGAAGTTTTCAAGGACTCGTTGAATTCAAGGAGGCCGCGGGAACCCTGAAAGATGTAGGCCTGTCGGATGTGGCAGTGCGATTAACACTGAGTTGTTTAGACCCATCAAAACACGAGGCTTCGTGGCCGATCACAAAGGTCTACGGGGCTTATCGAGGCCGATTCGCCCTGGCGCGTGCACGTTCACTAAACTGCCTAACTAGATAGAATCTACTACCAAAGATTCTCTACACGATCTTTGCTACTACCACTACTACTACATGTACTACTACGAGACAGTACGAGAGAGTGCCACCCAGGCAAAGATAGTGTAACTTTGACTCAGCCACGTTGTGTACACACTTTTTATACCCCAAATTTGACCCGGAAGTCTATTCGGAGGATTTGACCTTTTCACTTGACCAAAGTGTGCCAAAATGGTAGCCTAGATTTTGCCCCTCCATGAAGGAAAAATCTGGCCCTCATTCAAACCATTGGGATTGAGCAAAATTTTGCGTATTGTGCTTTGTTCTTACAATATAATTCATTATGATTTATAAGTTGTACACTGAGACAAAACTGTACTAAATGAGAAAGGTGCACCATTAGATATGAAAGTGGAACAAACTCAGTTGCCTGAAAAGGGTGTCCCCCCGTAGTTTGAGCATGTGTGGCCTAAATAAGCTAAACCCCTCTCCCTTACCTTATTTAGGCCATATGTGGCCTAAATAAGCACTCCCTTGAATAATATCAAGAGGTTAGCCCAGAACAGGGAAAGGTGGAAAGTGTTTGCTCATGACCTTTACCCTCATGCAGGGTGAGGAAGGCAGTGATGATGACACATGATATGACCCATTGTGGTGCAAGGGTCACAAAACGGTTACCCGCTACTACTACATCTAGAACCCAAACAAAAATAATAACCCCTTATTTTTTTTTTTTTTGGTTTTAATAATTTTTACCGCACTTGCAACACAATAACGTCATAGTATAAGAGCCGGAGATTCGAGGTTTTACAAGAGTAGCAAACACAAAAGAGAGGTCAGGATGATCGATAAAAAGATGTTGGAAAGGAAAGAAGGAGCAAACCACACCAGAGCATCCAATAACATTTATCCATGGCGTCCAGGTTTGGTCTAGTTTCTGTAACTGCTTCTTCATTTCTTATCCGAATTGTTCTTGGCCTTCCGGGGCTCCGATAACTAAGTTGGTACAAGTATTATGCTGGACTACGGATCGGTTGACCCTGGTTCGAGTCCCAGACTGGGTGTTCATGAATTTGAGCCATTTAGCGGTTTTCATGGCTCTAAACCCATTTGGCTCGGTCCTATCGGAGACGGACGTTCAATTCGAGGGTCCCGCCTCTTAACTAAACACACCACCATGTAGCTTTCCTCCACTTTCCTGAACGTAGAGAGTCCACACTGCCTGTCTACTTAATTAAAATGAGTCATGATAGTTGATTCTCCTAACGTGGGTCTAATACATTTGTACTAAATATCACATTCCTCTCAGGGTCAAGGCCACTTCCATACTATTGCCGTTCTACAACATTGAGCCCATGTAGAGTATAGTCCATGAGCAGGGGCGGCTCGTGGGGCGAACAAGTGGGCGTGCATAATTAATTAAGTTATCACAGGCGGAAGATAGTCAAGGGCATAATAAATGGGATGGTGTATAGTTTTAGGATCTTTGAGTTGGTGAGGGAGGAGCTCGTGCTTTTATTTTCATTC